TGTTGTCCCAAATCAAACCACCAACTTTTAATTCATAAATAAAATCCCTCCACCTCTGCAGCTGTTTAACATCAAAGCTTCTAATCCCAGCTCTCAGCATTAATCTCTAGTTCTTCAAATCCAAAAACGGATTTCCTACAGTCACAGCAAGAATAATCACTTCTCTAACTTTTCCTGTGACCTACCATATAATCGAGTGCCAAAAATCTTTCTCCAGAGAAATCACCTCACGACTGGTTGGTCACCACATTCCCAACTCTAGGTACTTACACATCTTTCTGGAAGGCAATCCTGAATGCTGTTACTGTGAAGTCTCTCTAACCAAGCACAAAGACAAACAATGAACAAGAAAAAACAAACAACAGCTGTCCAGTTTGGTAAATGGGGAGGCCATTAACATCAAGTGATGTCACCTCATTCTGCTCATCCTCCCCAAATCCAGGGTTCATTGGCATATTTATCTCCTCTTTGTCATGGACACTCCAAATGGAGTGTCGAACTGAAGATTATGAAGAACAGCACCTGTGTAATTACTTAGGTGACTACATAGAAGCAGACTAACTTAAAACTGCCCCATTTTTCTCCTTCACATATAATAACAGCTGGTTAGGTATACTTGCAAATGGCTTAACCAAAACCTGTAATTCCATGCTAATGCAAGAGAGCTCACTGGTAAATTTAATAAATTCAGACAAAGGCAAGTAAGTGCTTTAATAAGAGAAAATAGTGCATCCCAGAAGGTAACAAGTGTGATATTAAATTTTCATTTATACAATGGTATATTATGCTAAACCAGCTAACATCACAGCATAGAATAATATCAGTGAAATTTTAATATTAATACTATGAAACTTGGTGAATAAAATCTTGGTTGGGGAGTCAATGTTTTGGAGCATATGAGGGCTGGTGGATAATAACCAAAATGCAAAGTACTGGAATCTTCAACTATTACACACTTAATTATTCCAGTAGCAAAGACAACAACCTTTAAGAGATAAGGAAATTAAATTCTTTAGCACACAATTATTGAGCACATACTATGAAATGAGTAGTGTTAGGTATTTTCAGGCCAATACACCAACACACACTCTACATCCCTATAGCACTTCCTTCTATAGCACTGTAGCATTTAACATACTACATGTTAATCATTTATAAATAATATACATATATACTACTTTTTGAAAATATCGTACATTATCAAACATACACAAAATAGAACTTTAAAAAGTTTTACTATTTTATTCCCACCTCCCATGCATTGTCCTGCATACACCTTGAGGGTATACACACTTCAGTGGACTGACCAGCCTATATGCTCCTAGAGAGGGTCTTAGTCATCTTTGTTTCTACAGTGCCTAAGTCACAGGCAACACTCAGTAAAAATGTGCTGAATGAATGAGCAAAGGAGCACTCAAAAACGTGGAACCACAGCATAATTTCTGACATGCTATATTTCATCACCCAACTACTTAGTCTAATATAAGTGCCAAATTCTTCTTAAAGGGATTAAAAGAAATTCACCCACTTTATTTTATTAACACAGTTTAAAAGCTAAAGACAATTTTAATTCAGCCAATTCTTGGGGGGCGGGGGGGGAGGAAGCCTTATAATTCTGTTTCCAGAATGATGAAAAGGAGAGGAGCAGGAAGAAAGAATAAAGAACTGGAGATTTTTAAGGTTTCTTGGAGTTCTGAACTACTCTAAACTGCAATTCATCTTTCATTCAATGTTTTTTCTAATGCTATGTTCCAAGCATTTAGAATATATTTTTAGGAATACACAAGCCACAAACTTAGATGCCAGAGGAAGTGAAGAGATGAACATAGCTGCTAAATTCTCAGTACCCATGAAACACAGGAGATACACTTCAGAAAATACATGCAATCTAAACAAGTGTCAAGCCTTCAAGGAACAGCCTATTTGTGTTCTATTCAAGACTAGATAGACAGAAAGAGGCCCAAAATAAAAGCTACCACTAATACATCTACCTTAAAAAAAATCTTAAGGTATGCTTTCAGAAAACTATTAATGTTTACATAACTGACACACAGTCTAGCTGAAACAGCATGCAAAACCAATCTTCCTAATTTCTAGAGCTTCTGCAATGTAAATGAGAAGTCACTAGACTGGCCTTCACCTAGGTCCAGTGAGCGTTATCTGTCACTGACATAACACTCCATTTCCAAGGCCCCATTTTAGAAGATAAACTGCCTGCAATTCCTTGTTTGCAGCAATATACAGTTGGCTATTTTTTTTTAATACTACCTAATTATGGTTAGGCATTATTTACTGCTCAATAATTTTAACTAAAGCCAAGTGGGTATTTCAGTAGTTTATCAAGCTTGCTTTTCACTTGTATAGTGATGCATATAACCTACAGTGTATTTGTCCAATCCTCTCCCTACCCACGCTCCAAATCACCTTACAAGGAAGACTCTATGGACAGAGGTTTCAGTATCTATTTAGATTCTTCACATGCCCCTCAAAAGTTCCCAAACTATTTTTTTGCTCTATCAAAAGCTTTATAAATTCTTTCTATAATCTTAGTAAAAGAAATTCTACAGTAGGAGCGCTTGGGTGGCTCAGCTGGTTAAGCCTCTGCCTTTGGCTCAGATCATGATCCCAGGGTCCAGGGATGGAGCCCTGAGTCAGACTCCCTGCTCAGCAGGAAGTCTGCTTCTCCCTCTCCCCCTGCCCCTTCCCCCCTCATGCTGTCTCACACTCTAAAATATAAATAAAATCTTTAAAAAGAAAGAAAAAGAAAGAAAGAAAGAGAAAGAAAGAAAGAGAAAGAAAAAGAAAAAGAAAGAAAGAAAAATTCTATAGGTCTAACATTTTGGGGCACCTGGGTGGCTTAGCTGGTTAAGTCTGTCTTCAGCTTGGGTCGTGATCTCAGGGTCCTGCTCAACGGGGATTCTGCTTCTTCCTCTACCTCTGCCCCTAGCCCCCCACCCCCGCTCGTGTGCATGCTCTCTCAAATAAATAAAAATCTTTAAAAATAAAGTCTAACATTTACTACAGTAAACAGTATGTTCAAAAGAATTACCCACTTTTTAAAAAAAGCTCCTGGTTTACATTTAGAAATACTATTTATCAACGTGCTTCTCTCTTTTGCTTCTATTTTCCTCTGAAGCAAAACTAATAAAACATAAATTTATTCAAAGAATAATTTAAAAAGGTTTTAACAAATATTTTTGCTACCTCTTCAAATATTCATTTTAAAATTCAACAGGCAAACACTTCGTAATAAACTGAAGACCTTCAATCAAATCAGTTTAAAATGCACCAACTATTAATTTCATTTATATTTACAAAAGTACTAAAATCTTAGTTTGATATGAGAGTGAGCAAGGTAGAGTTTAATAAAAGTTAAATTTTAGAATTCCTTTAATGCCAGCTACATCACCCACAAACTTAAGAAACTGAACACTTCTGAACCATGAAGCTGTAAACCAATTTGAGTGATGTCCTCTTTCATGCCATGTAAGCCATTGCCTAATTGAGGCCAGACCTGTCAGGCTTGACAGCATCCCGGAAATGACTAGCCTACTAGAGCTGGAAACACATCAAGAATTTGGAATATTTCTCATATTGAGAAAAAAGTTCAAGCGAGATTGTCCATAAGAACAATCATTACACTGTTCGGTAGAAAAAAGATAGAAAAAGCTTATGTTTGTGTTTCTGGCCAGGCCACAATGAATACACCTAAATTCTGTATCTATTTTCCGGTGATGTCCCTCTGAATTTATCTTTTTTTCCTACATACGAACAGAGTTCACTACTAAATCATTTTGAATGCCTGTCTTTTAATCCAATTTTTATTTTGTATCCTTAGCTACTGACACCATTACCTGGAGCATGGCTGGTTTCTTGACTTAGAAACCTGTTAACAATAATGCCAAGCATCCAACCTGCTTAAATGTTTCACTTCTTACCAAGAAAATCCATTAAATGTCGACAATACAAGCATACATACATATACATACATACACACACACACACACACACACACACTCAAATCCTAGTCATGAAAAATTAAGTCACATTCTGGCCATAAACTATGCAACAGACACTTCCAGTTAGCGTGTGCTGTAGTGATCACGGACAGCGGTATCAGAGTAAGTGGTAGGGGGTTGGGGCTGTTAACAACACACTGTGCATCAGAGCCAATAAGCAGCAGGCTAGGACTGGCAGCAAGGCCGGTCTCTAAAGGGAGCTATAACACAATATCAGAATGCTGGATTTCCGAATGCCATTTTACAGGGAGGAGGGGGTGAGAACTGGGGATCAAGTGCAATGTAAGGCTCTGGCCAGTGTCTAAGGAGGTGAAACCTAAAACAAGGTCTTGTGGCAACACCAGCTGTCCAGTCTCATCTCACCTCAAATACAACTTAATTTCAGGGGTCGTTTTTATCAAAGTCAGTCGCTCAAAGGGTGAGGGGGTGGTAGAAGTGGATGATGGTAGCCCCTAGAGACTGGCAAAGGCCCTTGGAAAAGGCGGAGACTCCACAATTGGAAGGGGCTTCCAGCAGCAAAAAGAGAAGAGGGCTTTGCAGCCGCCTCCCCTCTCCCTCCCAACCAAGGCTGTTGAGTACGAGCTCAGGATGTTGTCAGGTTTTATGAAGGAGTGATATGAGAAAATGGCAGTAAAGGATGAGGGGGGCTGGAAGGGCTGGTGCCACCCAAGAAAGGGGGGAGAGGACTTCCCTGGACACAGCCAGGATAACAACGTCACCAAAGAGCACGGGCATTTCCCTACCGGCACCAGATACTCCTCTCTGGGAAAGCTTCTCCCCCTTCCATACGGTCCCCATTCCCAAACACTTCTCCCACCCGACCCTTCTCCCCAATAATATTCCCCATTCGCTGGCCTCCTTTCCCTTCCGCCTCTGGCGCCCCACGCCCTCAACCTCTCCTCCCCTTCCCGGGTCACCCACCCTTCGGGGCAGCCCGTCGCTGGCCTCCCCGGCAGCTCGCCCAGACCCCTCCCCCCTCACCTCTCCTCAGCGCCTCCTCGTAGCTGAGGAATCCGATCCGTGACTCCTTGGCGCCCATGCTCCCCTCATCCCCTCGGCCGGGGGTCGGAGCCTGATCTCGCCCCCAACCCCCCTCCCGCCCACGACTCGGCGTCCCTGGGTGACGGTGTCGGCGTCCCCCAGCCCCCTCCTCCCCCCACACTAACAAGTGCGGCTTCTGCCCCGGCAGCTCCTCCCGGCCGCCGCCACCGCCTCCATGCCGAATCACGTGACACGCTCCCACCCCGCCCCCTTCCCCTCCCTCCTACTCCGCCCTTCTCCTCTCTCCTCCCTTCCCTTTCCTCCTCACGCCCTCTTCCCTCCCCCCTCTCCCCGCCCGCCGGCCCCGCCGAGGGTCACCTGACCCGAGGCCAGAGATTGTTCCGGGTAATGGCCGCCAAGGGCCACACGCTCCGCCCCGCCCCTACGCTCTCCGCGCTCGGGAGCGTAGGGGCGGGGCCGAATCCCGCGCGTAACGCATCATCCCGCAGCTTCCCGCCAATCCGAAGCCCCAAGGCCCGGGAGCCTCCGCCCACCTGAGGGGGCGACTTCCGGGGCGCTCGGAGCCGTGACTCCCGCCCACCCGTTCTGGCGTCTGGGGGCGGGGCCGGAGCAACTGGCGTTTGGGGTGTCCTTGGACAGGCCCCATCTTGGGTGGGATCTTAGGGAACCGGGGTCTGAGGGGTGCAGTGAGAGAAAGGGGTTGGGCAGGGGAGAAACTCCTAACGTTATGGAAATTTTTGGCTGGGAGGGAGTTGTGAAAGGAAAGAGACCCTCAAGGATTTCCTGTGACGAAAGCGTTCTTAATCCGGGTGGGGAGATCCCTAAGGAAAATGAACCTTGTGAAAAGTTTAGAATATCTTCCTTTTCACGTTATCCCGTCTCCCCCTTCCACCCCAGTTGACTCTAGATTTTCTTTCACGTCCGCAAGCCCACCTCCCGCTCTGAACCTGCCTCTATAGAATCTCTAGAAGCTCCTCTGCAAAAGGCTTAGCTTCTCTCTAAGAGTTGCTCCCCACCAGAGATGTGAGGCTTACAAGATTTGCAACGGAGCCCCTTTTCAAAAAAGTTCTTTTTTATTGTGGTAAAATACTAACAATTAACCATTTTTATGTACCTTATGAGTGGAATCATACAATATTTCTCCTTTCCTGTCTGGCTGGACTTAGCATAATATCCTCAGGTTTTGTCCCTGTTGTAGCATGTGTCAGAATTTCCCAGATTTATTGTATGATCCGGGATTCCACTTGCCAAAAGAATGCAGGGACACATATTTATACACCCATATTTATAGAACATTATTCCCAATAGCCAAAATGTAGAAATAACCCAAGTGTCCATCAATGGACAGATGAATAGATGTGGTTTAGCTGACCTTTGAACACATTTGACTGCAGGGGTCCTCTTGTATGTGGATTTTTTTCCCATAAACACAGTAGAGTACTGTAAGTGTATTTTCCTTATGGTTTTCTTAACGTTTTCTTTTCTCTAGCTTATGTTATTATAAGAATACAGTATAGAAAACATATAGCATGTAATATATGTGTTAACTGTTTAAGTTATTGGCAAGGCTCTGATTAATCAACAGTGGTAAAGTTTTGGAGGATTTTTGCCTATACAGGAGGGTTGGTACCCCGTCTTGTTCAAAAGTCAAGTGTGTGTGTGTGTGTGTGTATGCACATACAGGTGTATATACAACAATGTATTTTGCATGTATATATATACACACACACAATATACAGATGTATTCTATATGCAGTTAATATTCAATTCCTCGCTTTTTTTAAAGATTTTATTTATTTATTTGACAGAGAGAGACAGTGAGAAAAGGAACACAAGCAGCAGGGTGGGAGAGGGAGAAGCAGGCTCCCTGCAGAGCAGGGAGCCCGATGGGGGGCTCGATCCCAGGACCCTGAGATCACGACCTGAGCCGAAGGCAGCTGCTTAACTGACTGAGCCACCCAGGTGCCCCAATTCCTCGCTTTTTAAGTCTATTTAATTTGTTTCTGTTAGTCTTCACCCTCAAAGTCACAGGGTAAAGCTTTTGGATAAGGAAATAACTTTGAAAAATAACTATTTGGATTAGATTAGACAGGAGGTGCCAGTTAGGTAATTCAGAGCCAGCAAAAGGATTTTAGTTCCTAAAGCCAACAGATTATAATATGCCCTGCTAGAGAAAGAAGGCAATACTCTCGTTTCTCTACTCACATTTCCTGGCAAACCAGATCAGCAGCATGGCATTAGTCACCGTGCTGCCCTTTCCAGTTCACCATGAGGCAGTTAATTTTAAGACCTCAGATTAGTTTCATTACTAAAAGGCCATGAATAAGGGGGTTGGGAACATACTTCAAAGCCTTTAATTTCCAGATCATTAGTTTGGGTATAGACAGAAGTATCCAGACAAAACAACTCTGTCGTCTTCAGCCTGCAGTTAGATTATCATAATTAATGGGAAGTGAATCTTAAGGGCTCAGCTGTAGGGGAAAGACCCTCAAGAGTTCAACTGCAACATACCTAAGCATTATTACTGTCCCAAATAATCAATACCTAAAGGCAACCTTGGTGTACAAAAGATAGACCTGAGTGATTATCTACCCATTTGATGTACAGTGGAATTAGAAGCAAATTGTTTTAGCTCTTTGTAGTACTTGCCCCCTTTGAAAGGTGGGACTAGAGTTGGACTTAACCTATCATATGAAATAGTAAATTATTATAAAATACTGGGGAAAGAATAGAATATAAACTCTGTAGTGAAAGATTTAAAGCAGTACTAACATACAGGAACTTTTAAAATTTCCTCCTTGGTTTCAGGCCTGCATTCCCATAGGGCCATAAAAATTTTCATCTTAATCACATAGTTTACCATGGATTAAACACTTCCCAATATTGTGAGTTGAAATAGCAAACTAAGAAATAGTATTTCTCCTTTGAGTTAAATTAAGCATATTATTGAAGGCAGTGAAGAAGATATGTCTGATGGGAATTTTAAATGTTAAGCTGGGATTAAAACCTGCCTTCTGGTTTGTATTACACAGTATCAGGCAGTCAAATGTTAAACATCCCTCTATAACTTAAAATTGACACAGTACTTAAGTTTGATGAGTAGAAAATCTAAAGTCTACCTGCCATGATGAAAGGAATTCTATTAATCAATTATTTGTTCATTTTCATTATATTTCACTTAATCTGGTGAGGAGTTGGCCAGCCACCTGATTTTAAGCATTAGGTTGCACTTGGGGAACCATTGTTTTAACTGTAATTACATGCCTGTGAAAGAGTTGTTCATATGAAGATTTAAAGCATGGGAGATTGGCATGTAATTTCTACTTCCAGTTGAGCAACCTAAATGACAGTGTTCCTCAGTTTGTACTCCCAGAGAAATAACACAGGAATAGGGCAGAGTCATTTTAGAACTTGCCAAAGAGGCTTAGGTCATAGACAGGGAGGTCAGTACAATAAAGAAGGTATGCAACAGCACCTAATTTATGTATAACTTGATTGCCATAAAATGAGGCCACAGTGAATGAAGCATGACTGCACAATAAGAGAACTGGGATTTTTCTTCTAGTATTATGCACTTGTTGCCTTATAATGACAAAATACGAGGATGTGGTCACTGTGTTATATTTTTTAAAATATAGGTATTTTAGAGTAAATGAAAATGTAACTTTCAAGACTTCAAGTTATTTTTAATGAAAATAATATACATTCTACGTAAAAAAATGTTTTTCCATCAGTGAAAAAAGTGTATATAAAGTAAAAGGTCATACTTCTACTTCACCCAGTCTTATTCCCTAGGAGTGTGTATCCTTCCAGTTTTTTGTAACTATACCCACTACACACCTTTTTCTTAGTCTACATACTAATCTGCAATTTCTTTTTCAATCAATAGTATAGCTCAAACTGCTTTTCATGTCAGCTTATAGATTTACCTTATTCTTTTTAACATACATAATGTGCCAATTTTGTGTATTTAATGTATAATTTACCAATCACCTGTTGATGAACATTAGTTTCAAGGGTTTTAATATCACAAACATTGTTGCAATTAACATCCTAGTACATATATCCTCTTTACAAATGTGAGTATATCTGTAGATGGAATTTCCAGAAGTTGAACTGCAGAATCTTTTTTTTTTAAAGTGTAATCTTTTTGTTGTTGTTTTTAAAGATTGTATTTATTTATTTGACAGAGAGAGACAGAGCGAGAGAGGGAACAGAAGCAGGGGGAGTGGGAGAGGGAGAAGCAGGCTTCCCGCGGAGCAGGGAGCCAGATGCGGGGCTCAATCATGACCTGAGCTGAAGGCAGACGCTCAACGACTGAGCCACCCAGGTGCCCCTGAACTGCAGAATCTTAAGACTATGCACCTTTTAAGTTTTAATAGTAGATGTTGCCAAATTGCTAGAAAGATTTGGATCATTTTCATTCTAATCAAGAGTTTCTGAGAAAACGAATTTCCTCTCACCTTGCTAACATTAATATCAATTTAAACTAATTTTTGTCTTTACCCTCTACCTATCACAAATCTTACCAACACAGAACTGAATCCCTGCTTTTCTAGACATGAAATTCATTTTCATTTTAAACCTGGACAAAGGGGCGTCTTGGTGGCTTCCTTTGAGCATCTGCCTTCCGCTCGAGTCATGATCCCAGGGTCCTGGGATCAAGCCCCAAGTTGGGCTCCCTGCTCAGCAGGGAGTCTGCTTCTCCCTCTCCCTCTGCTGCTCCCCCTCTGCTCATGCTCTGTCTCTCACTTTCTCTCTCTCTCAAATAAATAAAATCTTTAAATAAATAAATAAATAAACCTGGACAAAATATTTTAAGAATGACTAAAGAGATGTCATTCTCAGGATGCCTGGGTGGCTCAGTCCGTTAAGCGTCTGCTCAGGTCATGATCCCAGAGTCCTGGGATCGAGTCCTACATCAGGCTTCCTGCTGAGCAGGGAGCCTGCTTCTCCCTCTGCCTGCCGCTCCCCCAGCTTGTGCGCTCTCTCCCTTAAATAAATAAATGAAATCTTTAAGAAATATCATTCTCTCATCTGCATTTAAAGGTGTTTCTCCTTTCTGTTTATCATTCTTTAAGAGGTGCCTACATTAGGCAAAATTTCAACAGTGCCTATTCCCTAGGAGCT